GCGAATCCCCGATGGTATTGGCCTATTCACAGGAGGATACAAACAAGTTGGAAGTGAGAACACTGCCGCGTTTGCGGACAGAACCGTATACCACGCGCGCAGAGGCTCAGTGCATGTAGACTCAAGAGAGACAGCATATAGGCTCATTTGGCGCCCACCGGATGCGCACAAGGATCGTGTGCACCGGAATAAACCCGTCGTCTATATTCCTTCTAATTATCAGTAGGGGGGCTAGATGGATATCTGGGAAGTGGTGTCACAGCCAAAGCAGCTTCCAAACAGCATCACGGCAGAGGCAGCGCCCGTTACGTTTCGAGTCTGACGAAACTCGCCCGTCCAGAACATTAAATCATATGGCACACCGACATATTAGAAGAAGACTTCAGCGGCTGTGCGTGCCAAACCACGACATGATGAGACACACCGTATCGGGGAGACTATAGGTATTAAATTTCGACTCCCTGGGTTTTTAAATGTTTACCTAAATAAAAAAGTAAGTAAATAGGCGTTCTCGCATTTCGTATCCATCTAAATACGGCCGTGGTGATCGCGGGAACCGAACTCTGTGGCTGTCACTCCACTCTCCAACACAGAAGGTGTCCCCCACAACGGGAATTATACTGACTTTGCGACAGCGTTCCGTTACTACCTGTCCCGTATTTGAAAGTCACACGGTCAGTAGATCTTGTCTTTATTTTATTTATTGATTTATCTACAACAATAACGGTGTGGGAGACCAGAGAAAAAAGCTGATCGATCAGCTTGAGGGTGAATTCGTGGTAACGAACAGAAAAAAGAAACACACATATTGCACGTGGCTATCCTCCATGCAAGAAAAAAAAAACGTGCTTGCATAAACATTATAAATAAACATTAAAAAACATTTCCCCTGAGAGAGAACGAAAACAAAAAACAAATAGACAGCGATGTTTTGGAGGCAAGCTCATGGCAGGGATATCGTGGTGAAAAGTCCACGTGATTCTTTAAAGTGATGTTTCTGGAATGGTAAAAAGCTCCTTTTTACCAAATCTATTAAGCAAAGCTGGTAGCATGAGCCGAAGCATTTGTTTACCATAGTTAGTGTAACACTTCTTAATTTGCCATTATTATGGTTCACTTGGGTAGCCTGTAACTTTGCTTGAGTGGCCTGTAATACTACTAGCATTTATAGAGTACTATTTTTTTTCTTTTTCATTACGCTAAATTTGCACCGACGACATAGGTTACAGTTAAAAATGGACTTTACCGGGACGATGTTGTGTCTTATAAAGAGGTCACCGGTGTGTGAGAAATTTGAAACCTTAAGATGTATGACCCCCCAACCCCCCCTTTCGATAAAGTCTTCTGCACCCAACGTGGTCGTATGCTGCCTCCGGGATCGAAGGCAATGGTAAACTGTTTTGCAGTACATCACGTGGTCTTGCGGTGCCTCCAGGATCGGGACGCACCTGACCAAGCGCTGACGTGATATCCCATTATTTCACGTCATTATGACGTAGTAAATTTTGGCGACCTGGGACGTCACGTGTTCACGTCATAAAAGCTTTTTTGTTTTTTTTGTGCACCATGCACTTGTGGAACTTCAGAAGGTGGTTTGTGTAGCATCAGTTATGCTGACGCCGCTAAGCCAACGGTAGCTTTCTGCGCCTAACAATAAGGCATAGAAAGCCATCGCTTCAAAATGAACACCGTAATTGGTTCTCGTTAACAAAACTTGAACGCGGTTATCTAAAGGTGCATCTGGCGACGCCGAGAAAAACAACAATTCTCATCGTAGCAGGCACGTCTCGTTTTTTGTTTTTGTTTTTTCGGAAATGCAAAAAACGGAACAAGCTCATGAACAGGCACAGTTGGCACGCGCTTCCAGACGGCGCATGCGCAATGGCGGCCGAGCTGCGAGCGCCGGGCAGGAAGGTGGCCGTGCCATGCGAACCGTCACAGCTGCACACACCTGTGCGGCCTCGCACGCAACGCGGCTTGCGCCGGCGGCGCTGGAAGGAGCCGCCGCACGGCCTTGCTGATCGACCAGCAGATGCGCACACGACCGGTCGACAGCGTCCTTCCCTTGTATTAGTGTTTAATGGGCGGTCAAATTTTAGCGGCAGCTCGGACAACAAATCCCCACTTGTCACGGTAGCCTTGGGAATCAACGTCATGACATGGGGGCAAAAAAAAAAAAATTGGCCCCGTATCTGCATGTTACACTGCAAATGTCGTCGAATTAGGATAGTCTTGCGTCTGGAGAGACTGAACAGAACGTTTATTTGATGTTCTGAGCAAGAAAATCGGTGAACGGTATTCTTGAGGCGCTGCGTCACAGTGCCTCGAGCGTGCAGCGGAGGCGAACGAGCGCATCGAGTCACGTCACACGCGAGACAGGAGCGATATTTCGCCGTTATCTTGGGAAGCGCGCGGCGGGCCCGGCCGTCTTGGAGGCGATAAGGTGTAGAACTCAAGGCGACGGGTAGGTGCCGCCACCGCGTCGTCTTAGCAAACCGTTGGAGACACTTGCCTTTTTGAGCATCGCGTTGCACTGTCAGAGCAGCGTGATAAACGATACGGCCGTTAGAGTTACTTATGCGTACTTATGTGTGTTATACTTATAAAGCCACACATTGAAAATATCGACGTGTTGTTATGGTGTCTCAGATGTGCGCAATAATTGCTTTCGAATTGACAATCACACAAGTATGAACGCTGAAGCTTGAGCAATAATACTGCGGATGATGTCCGCTGTTTGGGGTGTTGTTTAGGGTACCTAATAAAACTGGTTGTCGAGCTAGTTGGTTATTTGTCATATCGTAAGAATTTAGCACAACTTTGACTCTCGCAAACATTCACACAAGCACTCACACATCCACCGTTAGGGCGGGCAAACAGACAATAGTACAGACAGACAGACAAAAAATTTTTGCGTCGAAGGTCTCCAAGAAATACTATCGTCTTTAAAAATATAGCAATAGGGCACACGGTACTATGCGCATTTGCCTACGACGACTGGAAGGCGAATAATGGAAAGCTCGGCTAGTTAGACACGACATGCAAACACGGATACTGGGACCCAAGAAAAATGTATTCTTAAAGACGCACTGTCCTTAAGAATAAATCGAAGCCGAATCTTTTCCTTCCAAGTCGATTGTTTTCACCCTTTTTCCCCTTACGCTAACACAAACGTGGTTTCGCTTTGCACTGCCTCCGCTGTAAGAGGAAATAGAGGCTTACCTCATGTGCTTTTTGTAGTGCCTCCACAATCGGCCGCTGACCAAGCGACGACGTCATATGACGTCATCTCGTGACGTCATTATTACGACACAAAAATAGGGCGGTCAGTGACGTCACCAAGTGGTGATGACGTAGCTTTTTTTTTTTTAACACAAGTCATTCGACACCGACGCAGCCAACGGTCGCTTTTCACGATTCATGGGGGCATCTGAGGCTTAAGCAGAACATTTCTAGGGGGCTGTTGGTTCACGGATTCTTGACGAAAAAATCGTATAGCGCGAAACACATAGGAACAGTCTGTCCACAGCGCATCCTACCTACGGTTCTGTCGTTTTGCGCAACGTTTCTTTTTTTTTTTCGTCTCTGTCGTTTTCTTTTCTTTTTTTTTGCACCAAATGCTTTCGGTTTAAAAGAGGTCGCATTCCAGGCACTTCGCATATAAGTCAATTAAAGGGGAACTCCGGCGTTTTTTTCGATATTCACCGATTTCAATAAAACTTTCAACGTGTGTTCGCATTAGTACCGTGGTTATATGTGCCAAATCATAAAACCATAAGTCAATTAGTTTTTTTTTTAGAAAATGAATTTTAAAAGTGGTAGCTGATTCTGGAATCGTGCTTGTAAACGCGGGCCACAGTGTGTATATGACGTCAGGGCGTACTCTTTTTTTAAAAAAACCCACATTTCCCAGCAGACGGATGCAGCGCACGCTTTCTCCTACGAGGTGAGGACAACGCGAGCACAGTTCAGTTTTGTCAGCTCCATACAGCGTGTTAGTAGTCGTTGACGTCGGGTCTTACAATATTGAGCAACGAGGAAATCGATTCGTGGCACTCCACATGCTTCAGTTGCCGGAGGGTCGGAATCGATGCTTCCGCGCTCAGATAGTAGCTGCAATCATCCCTGAACTTGTCACTGGTAAGTTCAGACGAGCGGCACACCTTGATTCCGCGTCGACGACATCGCCAACTGGCTTTTCGCGCATCAGAAGACCGAGGCACGTGAGCTCTGTTTACACCCTGGCCAGCCGTTGCTAACGCCCCTATACCTTCGGAAAAGTACAGAATTCTTTCGATCTGCGCCGCTTCCTCCTCACACCGGCTCGAAAGCAGACTGCAAACTCGTGGCACGTTACAGAGGGCGCCACTGTCGCAAGCTAAAGGAAAAAAAAAAAGAAAGCAACGCACCGGATAGAAGGCGGCGAGGGGGAGAGCAGATGGCAGTACTTTTACGAAGTATACGGGCTTTAGCCGTGGATGGGTGAAGCGGACCTCGTGACGTCGTCAGATACCCACCATGGACGACAGAAGCACTCCCTGTTGCGGTTTCTGTTCTGACTCGTCATTTTTTTGCTTAATTAAAATTATTGAGTACGTGACCAAAATGATTTGATGATTGATTTGTGGGGTTTAACGTCCCAAAACCACCATTTGATTATGAGAGACGCCGTAGTGGAGGGCTCCGGAAATTTTGACCACCTGGGGTTCTTTAACGTGCACCCAAATCTGAGTACACGGGCCTACAACATTTCCGCCTCTATCGGAAATGCAGCCGCCGCCGCCGGGAATCGAACCCGCGACCTGCGGGTCAGCAGCCGAGTACCTTAGCCACTAGACCACCGCGGCGGGGCCTGGCCAAAATGACCCACGCTAGCTTTTTCAGGATTGCCAATACCATTAGAAAACAGCATTATCTCAGTATGGGTGAAAATGCACCGGAGTCCCCTCCCCCCTTCAAGGTCAATGCCGTCATTCTACCGAGTGGAGGCAAGCACTCACCACGTATTCGATGGCGCCCGACGGCGGCTGGGTGGGCGTCCTGCTCAGCTGCTTCCTGCCGGCGTCGGACGATGCCGCCGTGGTGGTGGGCGGCGCAGACTGAGGCGCCGGCGGCAGCGGAGGCATCGCGCGACCGGGACCACCGGGTGACGTAGCTGCCGTCCGGCGACCAGCCACCGAAGAAGGACCCCCATGGAAGGAAGCAGAATGGTGGTGGTGCGTCGCTGCAGCCGCGGCCAGCGGTCCCAGGAGCGGCTCGAGCGGACCCCCGGAGGACCGGCCCCCGGCGTCCTCCTTCTTGCTCGTGTCCAGCACAAGCTCCAAGGGATTCACGTAGCCGTGGCTGCAGTCCACAGACTGGGTCTTGTTGCTGCGCAGGAGAAGAGTGGGGGGCGCCAGTCAGAAACATCGTTGAGACCACGTGCACAGTACGCAAATGCACACCCGGAAAAAAAAATAAGACTCACAGAGCCCATTGTGTACTTATGCTTCACTTAAAGGTGTACTGACACGATTCTGAGACATCGCGAAAGGGACATTTTAGGGGCGAAGCTCCTTAGGGTGTGGGTCATTCTCTCATAGTAATATAGTATGTTGTAGCAGTAGCCACTTCCACGGCCGGGCTAGACTGCACCTGCGCGCTCAGGTGCAGTCTAGCCCGGCCGTGCCACTTCTAGTTATTTTTCAGAATAACTCACTAAATGACGTTGTGTATATCTGTCCTTGTAAATAACATCAATAGATGACGTTGATGGTTTGATTGATGATTGATTGATATGTGGGGTTTAACGTTCCGGAACTACCACATGAGAGACGCCGTAGTAGAGGGCTCTGGAAATTTCGACCACTTGGGGTTTTTTTAATGTGCACCCAAATTTGAGCACACGAACCTACAGCATTTTCGCTTCCATCGGAAATGCAGCCGCCACAGCCGGGATTCGATCCCGCGACCTGCGGGTCAGCAGCCGAGTACCTTAGTCACTAGACCACCGCGGTGGGGCGATGGCGTTAATGTCTTCGTGTAGCTGACGATTAAAGGGGATAGGCGCTGTTATAGTAATGAATTCACCGCATATCCACGGAGAGAATGATGAATGGGGCGAAGCGTACGTACGTCTGTCCGTACGTCCATCCGTTTGTCTGTCTGTCTCTGTCTGAGCGAAACATAGACGGACGGACGCTCCACCCCACTCATCATCATTCACTCCGTGGATATGCTGTGAATTTTTTTTGTTTGCTTGGTATGCGGTGTTTACGCTCTCCACACACCAGAATCAGCCAATACGATTAAAATAGCTTCACTGATATTAAAATTTTCGTCACTGATCATCAGCAAACCAGTCCCACCGCAACAGACATTGTTCCAACCAGCCAACACAGTTTTACTGAGATTGCGGCATTAAAAATATATGCGATGCATTCCCAGGCAGCACAATATACTCTGTTTCGGTTTCTTGAAACCAGCGTTTTTGTTTGGAGCAACAACCCTAAAACATTCGAAATTCGTGCGAGTACTCATTCACGTCAGCTCCGTCGTACATGCGAGAGACAGCGAAATATGTTTAATACGTCACACAATCTCGTTCTTTGAATGCATTTAAGCCTTCGATTGTACTTCCCTACCCCATAGCGAATACCCCAGTAGCGTAACATGCCGAAATAGCCTTCATTTCGTGGATTGATATGATTGATATGCAGGGTTTAACGCCCGAAAACTACCATATGGTTATGAGAGACGCCGTAGTGGAGGGCTCCGGAAATTTCGACCACCTGGGGTTCTTTAGCGTGCGCCCAAATCTGCACACACGGGCCTACAACATTTCCGCCTCCATCGGAAATGCCGCCGCCGCAGCCGGGATTCGATCCCGCGACATGCGGGTCAGCAGCCGAGTACCTTATGCCTCAGTCTTCATTTCGTGTTTATATAACTATGCCGTTGGCTACTTCCATTCGGTCTAATCAACACGCCTACCATCGCTCGTTGTTGTTAGCAGTCCTTAGTGTTCCAAACTTCTTCGTGAACTTTCTTTTCGGTGTCTATATATAGAGAGAGGCGAGTGTGAATGATCATTTCACGTAAGTCCACATCGTGTCCCTCGTCGCCGAACTTCGCGGCCTCTGAAATCGGCCGGCTAGCACTGCCATCAAGACGGCGAGACAGAAGTCACTAGGCTCAAGTTTCTCTGATGAAGTTATATAGATATATAGAACAGATACAACACGTTAACGACGCTGTACTGTACATTACTCGTAAGCATCCCTAGAGTGATTGTATGTGTATGTTCGCCTGTACGGAGTATACAGTTACTCTACAAGTGCCTCCAGCGTACAGCGTCGCAACAAGACGTCCGATCGCTTTAAGACTTCGTTTAACGGCTTTCGGAGCGACACCATTTACGAGCGGGGATGCGTCAGACGCCCCTGTATGTGCACCCTCCTTGGAGCCGCGATAAAGAAGGACAGCTGAACGGCTCACGCAGTTTCGCAGACCACCGCGTGAGCAACAAGTGAAACGAATAACGACTGATTAGTGCTGGGGCCGAGAGACTTCCCGCTCACTGCTTAGGCTTTGTCCCTATTGCAGCAGCGTGTCATTGAGAAACACACAGCGTCGGTTCTGAATGAGTCAGTCTCTTATCTCTTGCCGCCACAGAGAAACGGCGATAGCTATCTATATGAAGGAAAACACGACGCACGGTTAGCGTGAGCCAGAAGAACGAGTGGATTATTTCGCGGGCGTTGCGCCATTGAAACACGCCGTTCGAGAGCGTTGTGCGGAGCAGTGTGGGACTGGTCAAACTGTATGCCCTGGAGCGAAGGGTTTCATCAGGTTTATACTCTTCCTTAGCGTTGTTCGGTCATATCTGCCCTTTGCGTCAAATGCGACAAGTTACCATCGCATCACTCGTTTTCGCCAAGGATGTTGTCTTGACGAAACGAAATGCCATGGCACGATACTGCCGTCTTCCGGCCTTTCGTCTCGCTTTGTTTCGCCCGGGACAAATTTGCCCCGTGATGGCTCTATCGCGTATTCACACTTCCAAGAGTTTCCCTACAGTACACTTCACAACGCAAAATGTATCGATCATCAAGCAGTTTTTCAGTTGCGTGCGGGCAGACATGATATTTGCGGTACAGCACTAACGAAAGTAAATCCATTACTTCGCACTCCTACGCGCATACGGGTCCATAGGCGTCGGCTGGATTTTATCTTGGGAGGGGGGAGCGCAAACTTGTGCTTCATCGCGACGAGGGGAGTGGGAGGGCGTTGGTGTAGCTAGAGTGCTGCAAGTGCTGGTTGTCTTGAGAGGAGGGAGGGGGAGGAGGTGCCCCCTTACCCCCCCCCCCATTTCCGACGGCTTACTTGCCCATGCAAAAGACAAGTCATTCGCAATTCACACGGCAAATCACTCTCTATACCCGCAACATTCAGGCCCGCCGATATGCATAAATCGGCGTCATGAAGTTCAACAACTGTTGTGGTTTAACGCCCCAAAACCACCGTAGGATTATGGGAGACGCCGTATATAGTGGTGGCGGGCTCCCCAAATTTCGACCACCTAGGGTTTTTTAACGAGCACCTAAATCTGGGCCAGCACCTCCTCTATTATAGAGGAGGCGCTGTTTAAGCAGACGGGCCTCAAGCATTTTACGCCTATATCAAAAATGCGGTCACCGCGGCCGGGATTCGAACCTGCGATTTCGGGGTCAGCGGTGCGTCAAAAAGTTTACGGACCAGGATAAGTCTGAGAACGTCCCCCCGCATTTGTAACTGCTGTGCTTGGTCGAACTGCAGGCATGTTATAGGAACGCGTTTGAGAACAAGACCGTAATGTCAATCCAAGGCTGTCGCCCGAATCGGCGGACATGTTCAGACTTTTCTCGCATATCGCGTGGTCCCTAAACCTTTGACGCCGAGTTTATACATGCATCACCTCTACGCACAACGCACGCCACAAAAGCCGCACGACTTTATAACTACACGCTAGGGACCATGAGCCCAAAGATCTCCAAAGGCTACGCGAGTTGGTGCTACCAGAGCTGCAGAATGAAATGGATGCTCTGAAAGCGTGTTCCTCCGTGCATACGTGGTTAACCCGCAAAGAAGCAGCGGCGTAAACAAATCCCTCCCCCCCCCCACCCCCCAAAAACGTTGACGCAGACAAAACGCGCAGTTTCTTACGAAACTGTCTGCGCGTCAACGTGTATATATATATATATATATATATATATATATATATATATATATATATATATATATATATATATATATATATATATATATATATATATATATATTGCTTTTTCACATTTTCTTTTTTTAGCTCTTGACACGTGTTTGTTTCCGGTTGTGGGCGCGTGCATATTTTGTTATATCACGTTGTTGATGATGACAGGGGAAGCCGGGAATGACGTACATGCGTGCGATTAAGCGCTTGTCTGTGTCCTCTCTGAGTGTGTGTATTTTTGCGCTTGTTTCATCATGAACCTTTACCAACACGCCCAACTGACAGTCATTCTAAATGTAAAGAATACTCTAAGGGTGAATGAATTGACCACGCGGGACAAACACAGACTAAAATAAAAGAGGGGGCATGGAAATGAATAGACAAGGCGTACTTACAGTTACACCACGCAGAACACGCGCGTGTACACGCCCACACACACGCGCTCCCGCGCACAGCCGAGCGGGGCGGGCACCGAACGGTTCACCACATACACGCGCCAGCGAGCGCCGACGCAATAGCGGCACACGTCGCGCTCGGTGCAAGCAACACAATAGCGAGCGCTTAATGGTCCGAGATAATTGCGAGCACACACTCTTGAAAACCCGCGAATACACGCAAGCCCGTGAATGCGAGGCTTCGAGAGCAAACCGCGGGCCAGAGGTTATGGTTTGTCACGGTGTAGTGCGTGTGCACTCGGTCAGCACGGAGAAGCAAAACGAATTCGACACGAGCACGGAACGCCTATACGTAGCGGTCGGCGCGGCTAGCGATGCAGTTGCACCACCACTGAGTTGCATCCCGTGCGTTGCATAAAACCAGAATGTGCATTTATGCAAGTATGCCATCGATGTTGTTGAATAAATGTAGCATAGCCATGCATGGCCGAGCGTTTCGACAAGGAGACTTGCGAGCTCCTTAATTTTAAATGATTCCTTACACCCCCGTATTCTAGAACGTCCCTTTACTCAACGCTTCACCTTCACTTGAGAAAGCCGATTGGAGCGCCGTCCCTAGGCACGGCAAGTCACTGCATATCAGCGATAATATGCTGCGATTCTTGAGTAGCGCAGCGTCATTTTTGAGCCGAGCTGTGGCGCAGTGCTCAACTCTGTCAAGTGAAGGGTGAAAGTCGAGTCGAGGA